ATATATTATAAGTATGTACGCTGTGTGTGTGTGCGTGTATATATATATATATATATATATATATTATAAGTATGTACGCGTATATAAATATATATATACATATATATGTGTGTGTGTGTGTGTGTGTGTGTGTGTGTGTGTGTGTGTGTGTGTGTGTGTGTGTGTATGCATATATATATATATATATATATATATATATATATATATATATATACATATATATATACACATTATGATAAATGTACGTTCAAGTGTATATGAATGATATATATATATATATATATATATATATCAGACGTATACGAATAGTTACACTGTACTGTTAAAAAATTGTCACAGTCAACGTACCACCCTACTCGCAGTGATTCTCTTTGCGTTGTCAATCACACCTTGGCACTGGGCCAAGAATCCGTCGTCTAGGCCCTTCTCATACTCGGCTATAACTTTACACAGGTCTTCTTCCACGGTTGCCACGTGCAACATCGCCAGTCCAACACCTTCGTTGACATTAAGTGTTTCAGCAGCAACTCGTAAATTCTCTGCTAAGCGTTTTTTAGGCAATCGCGTGACTCGTTTCTCCACATCTGCGTGCCTCTTAGTCAAGCACGTAGCTTCAGCGCTCCGTAGGACACTTTCATACGAAGTTTTATATTGTGCTACCCTCAACTCAGCGTCTTGCATCTCGCCACTCAGCGCCACTGTGGCCTCCGCCTTGCCCGTGGCTTCTACCACGCGTTGCTTTAACCTACTGAATGCTTTCGACATGATGAATGCCTCCCGAAACCAACCCTACTACTGCGGTCCCATCCAGTTCATGTAACTATTTACATAACTGTAGAATGTCTTCATCAATATTACTATTTTTAAACTTGAAATGTAAATATTTTATTTATTATTTATTATTTATGTTTTTCTATATTTTTGTTGTAAAAAAGTACTGTATATATGTTTTTTTTGTTTTTGTTTTTTAAAAACAAAAGACAATTTTTCGTATGACATAGCCTTCTAAATACTACCTCTTTAACTGTCCACTTTAAATATGGGTGACCCCATATATATATTAGGACTACATATTTCACTTTATTTTACAAATTGTGATGGAGTACAGCCCGGAAAGACTATGAGTAAAAATATAATTACGCAAGTCGAAGTATCTAAAGAATGCTTTGCTCTGATACTGTCCCACGGCCACAGGTCAGCGCCAAGCTCAATACGTTATGGGTGTACTGATTAAAAATTGAACGTTAATGTTTATTTTCATGTCGTATAAACTTTTTTTAAACGGGTTCAACGCTAATATATAACCAACGAAACCCCCAAAATTGCACTTCGATTATGCACCTAAAAATCACGAAATGGGCTATAGCAGCTGTTTCGATCGATTATAAACTCTAGCATTGAAAGTCATGACGCATTTCCTATTTTTAACTGACAGCACATTTTCCCAACAACTTTTACAATTAAATACCAAACAGTGGCGGCGTTTACAGTCTATACAAACACACACAAATTGCGGCAGACCTGCAGGCTGAGCCGACAGACTACACAGTATACACAAGTACAATACTATTCCACACAAATATAGCTATATATGCCTGAAGCCAGTTAGTTGTCATTGACGAACAAACATCATGCCAACATACGAGGAAGAAAGTATTACTACATGCCCAATAGACCTGACCACCACTCCAATTACTGGGTTCTCCATGAAAATTTACAGGACCATGTATGTAATAGAAATTGAACTTTGACGCATAGCCAAGGTATATATAAAAGCTTTAACTTGAAACGGCTTGAGCTGAGGTCATCATCAGCGCCTGAACGTATAGAGGGTGTACCTGTCCCAGAGTCTGTCTATCTCTTTAATTGTTCACTTTTTGGCTCAGGACGGACCCTGGACATTATCTTGAGGTTTGACTGTAAACAGTTTGATTTTATTTATATATTTTTTAAATATTTAGAGGCATGGAGGCAGTGAATTTATTTATTTATTTATTTATATATTTATTTCAAAACAAAACAAACCAAAAACACAACAAATATGGCCATCAAGGGAGGGGGGGTTTCCCCCTCCCCCATATTTATGTATTTTATAAGATCCCTGACCCTAATTTACCGTCCTGATCCCGATTTGACCGTGGACCGGCAATCCCAAGATTCCACAAATCCTTGGCTAAACCCGAAAAGCCCCGAGTCCAAAATCCTGGTCCACAATACACTAGGAACCCTGAACCGCGCCACTACACGGCGCAGACCCGATCCGTACCACAGAGGTGGGTACTCTACCTAGTGGGTCAGCAAGCGAATATATGGAACATTCGATAGTATCAGTGTTTTGTCAACACCGGCCCGAATTGACTCAGCACATATCTTCCATTGTCGACTCACTTGGCCCAAGCTTCAAACGGGAATTTACTGACCGCTTCTTCCCATCAATCTTTCCTGAACCACTACAGCGACCATGAGAGCCACACCATATGTTCATACATTGTATCATACATATTTGCCATTTTTGAAATAAATAATATTATCCCTATCAAAAGACTTGGGCAATAACTCTCGGTTGTATTCTTTATTGATTCTTGGCTCGGCCCCTACGATTCAAGTAATCCCGGCAATCCTTCTCTATTCTTTCTTTATCCTCTGTGTTGAAGTCTGAGGATTGCAAGCTACTATACTACCCTATTTATACAATTTCCGACAGACCCGTAGCGGTCTAAAGGTCTACAACTAAGCCTAAATGTCTACGTAATGTCTACGAACTTTAAGCTGACTCTAACCTATTCGCGATTTCTTATTAATTCTATATTTAGTCGTTTCGCAAGGGTCGTGAGGTGATGACTCGTCAAAATTCATTGGCCAAAATTTTTCGACATAGTGCACTGAAATTTCGAGAATGGTCCCAGACCCAAAAACTATCCAAAATTCGGATTCCCCCACGAATCCCAAATTTTCCTGATTGGGAGTTGCCGACTCCTACACGCTCACTGAGCTTTTAAAAAGATTATAGTCTCTTCGTACGGCAGTCAGCATCAGCGGTAAAGCTACGGATCGCATTGATAAGTGACTTGAAGCTATTCCAAGTGCTCGCGATCCCAGTACATTTCGCCTTCGCCAATGCTGGATCCAAAGTTCTCCTATCCTCAGGGCAGAGTTTCTGCAATGTAGTGAAGAATTTTTGGCAATCCCCAAACCAATCGGCCCCTTTCTAACATGTCTGTCAAGATCATCAGGGACCTCGTTGAATCGTTCAAAAGATTTCATGAACTCCTTCAATGTAACAAGTGCGCGCACAGTTTTAGCTGTACCAGGAGAGCCGCCTGCTGCAAGCTTAAGCTGGTCGCGATGCAAACGGACGTTGTTACCACCTGGAGCACGAATATCGTAGTGGTCCCCATCATAAGGCCCACGTGTGACATAAAACCCTAAAATAAACGAAATGAGATATTTAGTCAAAGTTAGGTATGTCTCGTGAAAACAGCAATACTCTGAGGGATTGTGAGGCTTAGTACTGTTTCCGCCGAAGGGATTTTATTTAGTGTTTTGTTGTCGCTCTATTAGAAACTATGGTATGTTTCACTGGGGTGAATCCGAGAGACTCATAAAATCCTATCTTTAGAAGAAGAAAAACAACTCTTGATGTCTTTAGTTATTGTCTTAACCAATAACTTGCCACTAACAAGACTTACCGACTTATCCTTTATCAGACTGGCACATCTGGTTGGCTGATCGGAGGATCAACTAGGTAATGTTGATAGTCCCTAGAAACCTATATTCGGTTGAGCCATCTCGCTACCGAAGTATTCAAATATAAATAAATTGGAAAGTAAATAAAGTTCTATTAATATAACTAGACCAACTCTTTATGTTTGGTATTTTAGTGAGGCCTTTTAATGGCCTCGTCCAAATATCTGATATGTAAAATGGAAAAGGGATTGATTATTAAAACCATTAAAACCCATTTTAGGAAACTTAAGTTACTCGTGCTATTAAGAGTACATTTAGGAAACTTAAGTTCCTCGTACTATTAAGGGTACATTTAGGAAGCTTAAGTTCCTCGTACTATTAAGAGTACATTTAGGAAACTTGAGTTCCTCGTACTATTAAGAATACGTTTATAATTTACGTACCGCTTAAGAGTACGTTTATAACATAGAGTCTAATGTGGAGGCCCGGTTTATTACACAGCCCTCACCCAGCTTTGAGACCCATGAGAAGCAAGTTACTCACTCAAGCTGATTATGGGTCAAAAGCGAGAAAGGAAAAAAACGGGTCGAAACATAAAGTAGCATAACATATATTTAATGTTTCTCAGGCGGAGAATTTAAGCGTTCTCGGTTACCCTATGATTTTTGGGCTTAGGTCCAGTAGGTCCGTGGTGGTCGACTGGACATTTCTTACGCTTCAGTGTCTTAAGCACATATTGTAAAATTCGGTCTAATAAAGGCGATACTAATGCCTTAGAATAAATAAACGCGTAGACAGATTTTTTAAGTATCATGTAAATATCAAGGTAAATAAACGAAATGAGACGTTTAGTAAAGTTAGGTATGCCTCGTGAAAACAGCAATACTCTGAGGGATTGTGAGGCTGAGACATTGCCTATATATAATCCTCTCAGTACTGTTTCCGCCGAAGGGATTTTATTTAGTGTTTTGTTGTCGCTCTATTAGAAACTATGGTATGTTTCACTGGGGTGAATCCGAGAGACTCATAAAATCCTATCTTTAGAAGAAGAAGAAAAATATTCTTGATGTCCTTAGTTATTGTCTTAACCAATAACTTGCCACTATCAAGAATTACCGACTTAGCCTTCATCAGACTGGCACATCTGGTTGGTTGATCGGAGGATCAACTAGGTAACGTTAAGTACATATGAAGGATGAGCATTAAGGCTCGGGATAAATGCTGTGGGCGGATAAGTTTTAACTTCCGTTCCTTCAGACG